TATGTGTGTGTTTATTTGTTGTGCTTTAGCTGCAGCATCTCTATAGTATTGCATTATTTCAGTATTGTCAGACCCTGAAATAACCTATTCCAAGCCAGAAAAGTGTCGTGAGGAGCCATGATGTGTGAATGCAGGTTGCACTATCTCTGGGCTTGGAGGCAGAGGGGCTGGAGGAGCAGGCAGGAGCCTGGACAGGCTCACTACTTTGCCAAGAAGGGCTTGGCAGCATCACAAAAGAGGTCACAACTCATCTAAGGGGGGTGTGAACCTTCAGTGGCTGCAGCTCCAAATACACATGCTAGTTTTCATTCAGAGCACCTGCATTTTGCCTTGGCAACGGTCAAATATATCCTCAATTTTCACCCTTCCCACCAAGTGCTCTGTTTAGCAACATTTTAGGCATCTGCCTTAAACTGACCCTAATAATAGAGGCTGTGTGTAATAATGACAGGGTAGAAAAGGAGGACTTGGACATTATTTTGTGCTATGGTTTTGTCTTATGATCTAGCATATACTGCTTGTTTCAGCATGCCAGGAGCTGGTGTTTAAGAGACACAATGTGTGAACTCAGACGTAGGGTTGTAAGGGACGATTGCAGAACTGTTGCATTGTGGGCAGGATATATTGCTTGGAACAATATGTTTCAGGAGTCTGTCAACTGTAGATGATAGGGGAAAATGAAGATGAAAGTGCTTTCTGGGAAAGTAAATCTGGGAAGGAAAATAAACCTGTCAAAGAGGAAAGAAAATCTAGCAATTGCTGATGGGGGGAAAGTAACCTGGAGACTGGGAAGGGTACAGAAGGAAAAAACCATGGTGACATGCAGCTGAAAGAGATAACAGAAAGACAAAGGGAGACAAAAAAACAGGAGTCAGGGAGAAAGGGGAAGAAGAGAAAGACTTCAGAGATTTACAGGCATTATACACCTGAAAGTTTTTGGTTTGCCATTTCTGTGCTACGTCTGGGAAACAGTTTGCTTTTAGGTACTGCCCATTCATTGTGTCCATTTTGGGACAGGATTTCTCCCCGCAACCCTAATAAACTAATGTTAAAACAAGGAGATTTCATGGCCTCTTTTATTTTTATATGTTTATTCCACCAACATTTATTGTAGAAGATGAATTTCCACTTAAAGAGGTATCTGAATTAAAGGTGCTGGGACAACTCCACAGCACTTCAGCAATAAAAGGCAACATTTGGAGCCAGGAGTGACTTCTGCAATGCACAGATCAGGGAAATGTCATTAAGATGCATGCAGGTTGCAGGAAGGCTGAAATTTCCTGTGCTAGGAAAGCAGAGCAGAAGATGACAAAATGACTGGATTGCAATACTGCATTCTAAAAACTTAATTCCTCCCCCTTGCTGGAATTTGTCTTAAGGCTCGTGACTCTGGGAGCTTGGTCGAAGAGTTACCGCAGCCATTTAAGACGCAAAAATGTGCTTAGGGGGCAATGGAGGGTAAGAGTGACACATGCATAAACAAGCCTTGGAGAAAAGGAAACGTGTCTGTTCTGGCACATTTCTAACCCTCCCCTGATTGTCGCCCAACTGCCACTCCATCAGCATCTTCTTCTCCTGCCTCCCTTGCTTCATCAGCTCCAAATTGTGCTCCCTGATAGTCACGAGTGGGGAATCAATCAGAGAACTCCGCTCCTTTCAGCCGCAGGTACTGAATGGAGGCCACAGGGGGCTGTGATCTGATTAAAGCATTGTTGAAAATAGCTTTTGCCTTTCATCTGAAACCACTATCCCTCAACCAAATCAGTTGGAGCAGGTAATGCTGCACGTACTGGTACGTGGGCTCTAAAGGTACTGGAGAATCTACAGCTACAAAGGGGAATTTGCCTTTTAAACTGCATACAGAGTGGTGAAGTAGATGGTCTCACTATATGGCACATAGTCAGCAAAATTCACATCCTGTATATTATAAAATGTGATTTATATATTTTTTTGCTTAAACAACAATTTTTAAACTATGTCCTATAATAAAACCAGACTTTCAAATGCTGTAAAATACTTCACAAATATTTTTTCTTCTCTCGCTCTTCCACATAAATCCAAAAGCAGTGAAGTTTGTTCCCTCAATTTCAACACGCAGGACAGGTTTGTTGAGGGTCTTACCCTGTGTCCTTCCGTGAAGTAAAATTTTCTTTTCGTTGTTATGAATTAAATCACATAATTTAATTTGGTGAGTATTTGCAGAAGGTCAGGCCTGTGTCAGTAGTCTCGGCACTGTTCCAGGAACAACGGCACTTTATTACCGTGCAGGGAAAATATTGTTTCTATGGATTGTGCATAAATGGTGGTTAGAATTGTTGTTTTTTTTAATTTCCTGTCTGTGGACAAGCTGGATGCAACAAAAATAATGGCCAAAGTGGTGTGCTAAGTTGTACGGGTAAATCATGTCAGGCATTATCTGAGTGCAGAACATGGATCTGGGTGCGTGGGACTCAAACAGTATTTCCAATTTAAAACCGTTCTGTAAAGAGATCAGATTTTCCTGATTAAAAACCTGAGAGAGATTGTATTTTATATCCAAATCTACATTCCACGCTGTGCTCAAATTTAATCTCTGCTTAATAACAAGTTTTCTAAATAATATTGATTCAGGTGGAAGATAGAAGCATTTCCAACAGGATATTTTCACAAAACAAAATAAATGACCTGAACACTCACACTCACCTGTGCGCTGCACAGGAAAGAGACTGCGATCCTCGCTCAACAAAACACCAACAATCACATCATTCCAAGTGTTGAGTCGTGTCTACAAATACGTGTGCTTGGAGAAAATCGTGTACTTGGGGAAAAAGCTTAAAAAACTGTGTTTTCTGATAAAGTTTTTCCACCTTTGCTCATTGTGCATGTTCTTTCTGCCTTTTTACATCCAGCGGCTTCTATTTCCACATGGGCAGTACCATGCCAGGAGTGACTGTAAATATGTATCTGTGAAGCCTGACTACCCTGGGCATCATCATACATCTTCAGTCCTGTGTCTTTTGTAAAATCGCCTCATTGCCTTTATCCCAATCATTTATCCCTGGGCTTCCCAGTGTGACAATTTCCACACAAGCCTTTGGGGCTTATCTAAGACCCTGCCACATTTATGTGTGGGTGCTTGCAGCTACGCAGAAGAAAACCACTTCTTCGTGCTTATTTGATGGGGTTTATTTAAATCAAAAATACATTAAATTATGTTAATTCAGGTTATTGCCAAAGTGAAGAATCCATTCCATCCACAAAGTCATCAATATTTATTTTCATTTTATTAAAAAGAAGATGAAATTATTTTACTTAAAAGCATTATTTGCACATGGACAAGCCCATTCTCCCCACTCTGGAATTCTTCTTTTAATTGACCATGACACCACCAAAATGATCTCAACATGGATTAGCTCAGCTAAAATTACATGAAAAAATACTACAAATGTAATGGAAAGGTTTTGATTTTGAGGCATAGATATTGAAGTGAAGACTGCAATACATGTATTCATGTTTGAGGAGAATCTGTTAATGTCTTGGAAATTTTAAGAGATACTCAGAACTGCAGCTGAAAACTGAGCAAAACCATGCATGTAAAGGACACCAGTTTTTTACAGGAGAATTTATGACAAATAGAGCATCTTCTAAGGTTTCTTATGAAGTCCCTTATCTTCAAAGAGCCCTCTTCCTCCTTTGTACTTTTGAAGGGAAAACGATAAAAAGCTCAGACAGTGATAGCATCCATTTCCCATAAAATTCTCACTGCCTTTACTGTCAGCTGAAGTGTTTCTTTACCTCAGAACTATATCACATTCAGCTGATGCCACAGTCACTTTCCAAGACCAGATGATAGACACTTGAATTTCTGTAGACCACTTGTTGCCTCTTCTGCCACAGCTCAGGGGGGTGCAGATGCATTCATGTGCATGTAAGAACATTTGGAGAGTGAAGCCCCTGTCGTCTTCCCCTCCTCTTCATCACCAACCTCTCCCCGTATTGCAGGGGGCTTTTGCTTTGCACAGCAGGTGAAAGTGTCCAGAAAACCCATGCGGAAGCGCTTGTTCATAAAGCAGTATATGATAGGGTTCACGCAGGCAGAGGTGTAGGACAACAGGTGGATAAAGGAGATGGGAGCCCCTGAGAGACGCTGATCTGCTGAAGCGGTGTCAAACGCGCGCCAGGCATTGACACTGAAGATGGGAGTCCAGCAAAGGAAGAACAAAACCACTATCACCATCAACATGCGGATGACAAGTTTCTTGGCCATCAAGTTGGCAGAAGAGCTGCTGCTTCTCACCCTGTCTATTTTGCTATGGCTGGTAGCAGAGAGCTGCTGCAATGGCATTTTCCTTTTTCTTTTGGTTTTGTTGAGGTAGCATCCATCTCCGTCCTCATATTTGGCACTGCAGGTACTTACTTTTCTTTCTGTACATATAAGTTAGTGCTTAAATAGTTTGCAAAACAGTGATTCAAAATAAAAAAATTAAGAATGGAGCCTAAGTCTAAATAAATAACGTGATTCATGGCTGAACAACTGCTGCAGAGAAGGTACTGGCCTACTTCTGAGCCATTCGAGTATCAACTGCTCTGTATCCACTATCTCCCAATATTCTCACATCCTAGCTCCATAAAAATTGATGCAAAGGATGTAAGAACACTGCCTTAGTATTTACAGAAGATAGTTCTCAAAATTATATGCTTCTATCTAAATCTCACAGATTTGTTTTGTGGTGTTCGCTGACAGAAATGGTCCCCATCCATTACCAGAAAAAAAATAATCTTGGTATTTCCATAATAAGCAAATTAAAATTGAATATATCCTGCCCAGAGTCTTTGCAAACAAGACATAGGTGAGGAATTATCTGCTAGTGAATAACAGAATAACTGCAGTCAACAAGTGCATCTGGCAGGTTCACGACCATAGCTGGCCATAGTGATTGTCTTTTCAAATAGACAGTTTTGCTTTCAGTAGCCTTAAGATGACTGCTCAGATCTTCAACGCTAACTTAAAAGAACCCCAAACCTCGGTATAAATGTATTGTTACCTCGTGAAGGTTTTCTCTGGCTGGCATCAAATTTTATTCCTCTGTAGAGTTCCAATGAGATGAGGCCATATGCAACCATCATTATAATCCCAGGTATAAGAAAGAGTATGAGCAGCAGGAAAGTGTACCTAAAGAATCAAAAGACAAACTGAGACCAGGGAACAGCACAAAACCAGAAAAGCTCCTTTTGCTCCAGGCAAGAAATGGGGGGGGTGTATGTGTATGTGTATGTGTAGCATTTCAAGATTTTTCTGACGTTTTTTCATGCTAATACAACGCATTGTTTTGACAGCTCTGGAAATCAGGCGTTTCCCACCTTTTCTCCTCTTCCCCCAGAAAAGTACAGCAGGAACAAGGCTACTGCAGCTGCAAAACATCCATCACCCAATCTCTGCAGGCCCTGAGGAAATGGGCACTCTCATAATGGTTAGAGGGAGCAGAAGGTTTCTCTGCCCAGGAGCAGGGCTCCCTGCTGTAACCAGATGCCCTGTACCTTTGAAGGATGTAAAAATTGCCTTGCAGAAGCCAAATGAGGTACTGCTGATTCTCAAAGGAGCCCCTGGTATTGGCAGTCACTTCTTCATGAGCCAAGGGCCATAGCACAAGTGGGCAGGGACAGAGCAGCCACGACCTGGGCCTTCATCCCTGCAACCATGCAGAGCCCCCAGGGAGGCATCCCAGGGCCAACCACCCTTGAGCTAAAGGAAACAGCTTTTACTTGGTTGCACTTCTGTTAATTTTCTCGTCAGCTTCTGTAATGTGATTACAAGTTGGGAAATAATTCTGTTTAACTGCATTCATGAGCCTATGTCTTTTCTGCTCCCCGGGACTTTGGTGCAAACTCACTAATGCACCTGGGAATCCACAACACCAGGGAGACAGAATTTTCCCCTGCACCTCCCTCCTCATCTGTACTAACATTGCTGGATACCTGAGACTACAAAACCATTACTACAAATTTACTATGTTTGTGGATACACCATACTGAAGTGGTGCATACTTTAATCTTGTTCCCAGTTCCAGCTGACCTTCAGTATCCAAAAAACTCTTACATCTTCTCAGTGCCATTTAAAATGTTCAGTCATTGTGCAAGGACACAATGTCTAAGTAATATTGCTGCTTCTCTGCTTCAGAGGACCTTCAGACAAACAAATTAATGGGCAAGGCAGCACACAGAGGGGCTTTTGTATGTGTCTGCATTTCTCAAAGATTAATCAAGGATTTCTCTGAAAATATTTAAGTTTGTGTATAAATGAGTCAAAGCAGTACTCCTACTTGAAGAGTGACAGATGCTTGCTTTACAGCAACAGTAGGGGTTTAGCAGATCACAGTGTGAGAATCATTGGCATGTTGGGTATCATTCATATGACAAGGGAAAAGTCATACAAGTGTCAAATGTAAGCAGCTTAAAAATATGATTTTTTTTTTACTTCTTAAATAAGCATGATAGAAGTGTAAATGTATGCTAGAGGTTAATGCTTGATTTTCAATAGGTTTAACGCTACCATGAAATCCTGTTTTCTGCCAGATAATTACGCATTTGCTAACAGTCAGTTATGTCTTACCAAGACTGCTGAATGACATCACTTGGCCAAAGGAGCCGACACATATTTGCTGTGGTGTTGTTATACTTGGTGAAAGGTACCAGCTTGCTGTAAATTGGGTATGGTGCCATGATGGTAAAGGAAACACACCAGGTAGCAGCAATCACCTTCAAGGCATGAGATTTTGTCTGCCAGACCCGGGACTGCAGAGGTTTGCAAATGGCACTGTATCTCTCCAAAGATATGGCAACCAGGTTGAATGTAGACACGCTTACAGAGACACCTATGTATATATATAAAATAAAGGAAAAGGTTATTCCCTTTGCTTAAATGCTCATGTTATTTTTCAAATAGTCTAACTTTCTGAATGCACAGGGAAAATGAAATACAGGATTATTTAAAATCTAAAATACTTATAAATATCATACTGATAAAGTCAGTGAAGAATATGCGGGCAATGGGTCTGGGTCTCCAGACTGATGTTGCTGCTTTGCACTTCTCTAATGCCAGAAGTCCAAGAGAAAAGATTCGTTCTGTGAAACCATGAAATTCTGATAACAGGGAAAGAAGACCCTTTTCCTCCTAATTCTTTTCTTTACTACTGTGGTTTATGCACTTCGCTATTTGGACTGAAATTGAAACAAGCGTTTGAAATCAGTGGGATTATGCTGTTGACTACTCTTTAACACAGAAGTTCACAGTCCCCCTTCTACTGCTTTAATTTTTTTAAGCATCCTGCTTGACTGGTGATCTGATTTTCTCATTCAAGAGAATTAAATATGCTATCACTTTTTAAATTAGATGCTAATGGAGTTACAAAGTGGAAATGAAGTCATGAAGCAGAATCTTTGTCCTTCAAATGCCCTTAACTTCTCCTGTTCATATATTATAAAATATAGTGCAGTGGTCTGTATTTCTGCCACTACGGTGCCCCAGTTTATCACTACAACATATAAATATTTCTTGTTTGTCACAGTTTTTTCTTTCTGTAAATGAGTTTCGTTTAATAATCTTTGTGAATGTGGGTCAAAATATAAAATGCCAATACCTTTACAGTTTGCTCTACACAAATTACCTGTAATTTAATACAAGTCTTCCTACATCTTAAGATGAAAAATTGAGCATAGGTGATGCAATGCATGTCAGTGTCAGTTGAAGGCCCTGTCAACCTGAACTGATAATGGGAAATATCCACATTCTGTCTCTTAAAATAAAGCGCCTTCGTAATGAAAAACTTCATGTTAGAAAATATTTCACTGGATTATTTTTTTTTAAGTAATTTACACAGTGAAGACAACAACACTTCAGTAGTGGTTTGTGGTATTAATGGCAGCAATTCATCATAATTGTTTAAACATGGCCTTTAGTTTTATCGGTTTTATCTACAAAAAGATGTTGATTTCCCATTCGCACACTTTAGGTGTGTACCTTCACATCATGGCAAAGTTCTCAAGGGCACGGGTTGAAAGGAGACCTGAGGTTTCTATAATGAGCCGAGGGTGCCCCAAGGTTGCAAAAACTTTACACAACGTTCTCCCTTTTTTTTTTTTTTTCTGTTTTAAGAAACAAGCAAATGCACAGGAAGTATTGGAAGTGACACAAAATCACTTACACAGACGTACATAATCCACGCATTCAGAAACTCCTGGCTCCACAAGTAAAGGGGGTATGCAAAGCATATAAAAGTGATACTTCTTAAACTCAGCCTCTGAAACCTACATCTGTATGTTGTGGCCTCCTGGTGAGCTCTGATCACACCTGGTCTGTTCTCAGAAAGTGCTTGCTCTAACTTCCAGCTCCACAAATGACACTGACTTTGGTCTGGGTTTATTTCTTTTTTCATGTATCACTGATACCAGAAATCTGTGGGCAAAATCTGCCCTTAGTGGGGACCATACAATCCTGTCATTCCTGGTGGGTGATCTGACCACTGCTAATAAATCTGTCAGTGACAGGTAAGCAAGCACATGTGCTGGGTTCCTCATTAAAGCTTGGTTATGCAGCATACTTCTCACTTAACCTCTCACTGATCCAGCAAAACACTTCTACATGTTGCTAAAATATTAAGTGGGTGTCTGCTTTTTGTTGGATCAGACTGAGGAAACCAGAACCATTATGACAGTATAAAGTTGTTCCTTCGTGGGTTTGGTAACTTTTCAATGGCAGATGGAAACGATCAGTATTTTACTGGTCTTTAATGACCTTCTCACCTATCTCATTAGTCAGTCTTCAAAATAAGTATGAATTTCCAAGACTTACCCATGAAATAAGTGGCAGTTTTGCAAACGGTGCTTCCAAAAATAAAGTCTTTCAGCAGGTTGGGGATGAGGGTGAATGGCATGCAGAACAGGCAGAGCATCAGGTCGCTGACTGCTAGTGACAGCAGAAATGTGTTGGTGACTGTTCTCATCCGCTTGTTTCTTATCAGCACTGTGATTACCAGGATGTTCCCCAAAGCACTGAGCAGAAATATCAAACAATACAGCAGAATCCGAATTATCTGATGCAAATCTGAAAATTGTCACAAGGAAAGATCAGTTATGCAGTAAATAGCTCATAGACTAGCATCATATGTTTTATACTTTAATCAGAAGTTAAAAGCCTTTCTGTACTCGGTTTTATTAAGGTTTATGTCTTTATACCAATGCAAAATCAGTGGAAGTGCTGCAATTGTTAAACTTGTTCTGATCTACCTGAATTGCGTATCATTAAAATATAATAGCCACAATAAAGTGTGCATTTGGAGAGCCAAATTCAACTTCTTTAAAGCACATTCTGTCCACAGTATTTTGGGTGCACCACTCACTCACCAAAAGAGATTCTCCTTTATGCAGAAGAAACAATACAACAATCACAAACATTTTAGTACATGCATATTTTTTTTCAGCCTCAGAGTGCTATAATTTCATATATAATCACTTTGATACATGGCATCAGGTCAGATAACTTCATTGTTATTGAATTGCTGAAAGAGTATAAATTATGTTTGTCCAAATCCTTAGCAGTGCTGTTTACATTTTCTGCCCAATAGTGTAACTGTTTTAGTTCTCCACTATATCCAGATTTTGTTCTACTTGAATTTTACCTTGGAAAACCAGCACATAGTAATTCTTTCCTGTCTGTTTCTCATCCAAACTTATCAGCAAGCAGTTGATTTTCTACTCCCTTACAGAAAAAGCTTTGTGTGTCTGTTTCTTTCCATAGTATCTCTATTTCCAGCTAGAACTAAAACTGCCTGGAAAAATCTGTTTTTCTGTACATACCTTTAGAAGGATAAGGTGGATCATCCACACAGAAAAAAGTGTCATTTTCCAAAATGATATCGCACAGGAAAGCAGTAAAATTGGTACCGTTCCCGAGGAAGCTAGCATCAACTATTTCCATTCTTCAGTGTCCACAGGATAGCTTTGATGAAGAAGAGGGTGGGTTTGTAACTATCTGCCCATTCTTGCAGTAAACAAATACATTTCTGAATGAAATCTCCAGGAGAAATACAAGACAGGCAGTTGTGCAAGGAAGCTCTTCTAACTCTGTCAGGAGCACCTGGCACATAGGTCCTGTTCAGGCTGAACAAGATTTATTCCAGGGGCACAGAAGGCAGTCCAGAAAAGCAAAGCATGCATGCACAGACACGCTCATACATATGCACGCATATCCACACACACACACACACATCCCCTCTGGTACTTTTTTAGATCCACCCTTTTCTGTTAGTGGACTACTGTGGGGATTATAAACAGGCTAGAAAAAGATTACAGCATTAACCCCTTGCCAGATTGCTCCTGCTCTCATCTCTGCAGTATTTTTCATAGTCTGTTATGCCACAGAAAACAAATCACAACCAATGAGTGATCAGAGTGATAAAACCATCTCTCAATCAACAACATTTAAAATGGTAAGAGTAGTTGAATAAAAGGGCAGAGAAAAGAAAAGCATACTGAAGATTTTTCATGCTGTACATGAAAACAGTTCTTACCGTCATATTTTTCAGAGCAGTCTAAAGACTGGGTATGCTCAGAAAAACAAGAGCTATTACATTTATCTCTTTTGGTGAAATGCTGACTTCATACAAAAGCACTGTACGCACCTGATTCAAACCCCTGCAAGTCAATAGAAAGATTCACTAACGTCAATGTTCTTGGATCAAGCCTTATGAAAGTATGATATCAGAATTGTTGGTTAATATAAGCAGAAGCCTACACATTTTCTCAGTGCAAGGACTTGTATATGACTCAGATATAAACTTGATGAACTGATAAACTGTGGCACTTTAGCTACGCATTAGTGTAAAAACACAACGATCTTGTTTGTTTAGAAGAAACCCTTTCTTCTGAGTTCTGCTTTTGAATACATAAATATTGTCCTCTCTGGTGTTTTCACAGAGTCATGGGGTTTTGACTTCCCATGTATAGCCTGTTTATGGCAAAAAATGTATAAATATAAATATAAATGAATCTCTGCTATGACTCAATGAAAACAAATCTCACATTTAAAATCTCTTCTACTTAAATAGGCATAGCAATAACAGGTTTCTAACAACAAGTCTGGACCCCTTAAAATTGATATACACAGACTGGAAGGCCTGGATTTCTTTTCCAGTCTCGACAGCTTTGCTTTATAGTGCCATTAATGGGAATAGGTATGTAGGAGAGTAGAGATGAACAGTTACATCTGAAGTTCTAATTTCTAAATTATCATTTCTTCAGCAGATTAATTATATTTTTTCCATTTCTTTTACAGATTTTTTGCAGTTTTTAAAAATCTGAGATAAAATTATTCAAGCTGGTGATTGGTGTATAGAGTGTGTGACTGTCTCAGCTGAAAAAAACATTCAGTCCAGCAGGAAATTAATCTAGAATGACACATTCTCAAAATGGGAGAAAATCATATTGAAGAAACTAAAATATGCTTCCATTTTGGCAATGATTGAGCATTAAGCTTGAACATCAGGTGCCAACACCTCTGAAACCTGTTTTATTTCTTAGCTGCCCAATTAATCTTTATGTTTTTTAATATGTTTTCTATGGTTAAATTGATGGGTGTTACTAATCAACCACTCTATTAAATGACAAACATTGCCCATTAAATTAAACATAGAAATGTTTTTTATTTTTTTGTAATTATTCCAGTTTTTCCTGAACATTTTCTCTGACAATTTAAAACTCTTCTAATATCCCAAGTAGCTGGAATGTCAGCCAAGACAGGTGCCGATTTAGTAATGGTAATGCACAGGAAAAGTAATGGGTGCTTTTTGCTCAGGCTACTGAACTTAAGTTGCTTTTTGCTCATCTTCATAGACAACAGCAAGATGCAGACTAGCCTAGGCTGCCCAAATTTCTGGTTAACAACTAATCTTTTCTACAAAACTTACTTTCTATAGAACAAAATAAAGGGCAAACGAATGCAGACCAAATTTTGTAGCCTATGTCTGCCTTTCTAAGGTGTCCTTTACACCTGAGATATAATCCTGCTTTCTACATGCATATGAGACTCGCTTCAATGAAGTCTTTACATTTTAGAGCATTTTCTTTTGTCACAAAGTAGCATTCAGTCTGAACAATTTTGAGCTTTAAGGAACCTTTGTGTATCAAAAGAAGTTACTATAATTATTTATAATTATTATAATGGTCTGACGTGCTGCAAAACACAGGCTGTGTAATTGTGTTTAGCAATTTCTTTACTGAATTAAATAGCCTGTAATGGAGTTTGAGTCTTTCTGTAAACAAGATGTCAAATTGTTGTTCTGGGCTTAGTCTTAATGTGGAAGAGATCTTTTTGGATTCCTGGCACCTTCTATTAGATCTGCATTAGAGAAATTGCTGGATATGTATTCAGCTGCAGTTGTGTTGAATGACTGATATTAGAAGTATTTTTATTAAATGGTTGTACCACCGTACTTTTGGAGTGAGGGGTTCATTGCTGGTGTCCTGATGAGTTACAGCTTGGTTATTCCTGTACCTTGAGGAAGCAACATTACAGTGAAGAGAAAGATTAATTTTTATTTACATTGTCAAATATAGACTGAGACTGTGCACTTGTCAACATCTGCTGGGCTTCCAGACTTGCTAAACTGGGTTGCATAAAGTCTTCCATGAAGTCTTCGGGACCTGGTTAAAAAGAAGAGAAGAAATGGAATGAATGAAGAGCTGGGGGAGACATGGTCAGTGATCAGGAGGAAAAACAAGATTAGGAGGATCATTAGGGGGATCATTGCAGTCAAAGAGATTACACTGGAGCTATTGTCTCTCACTGTATTACGACAGACAGTGAATTATCATTCTGAAGTTATCTGTCATGATTCTGTCAGGTTGGTTATTCATTCCTTGTAAACAAGCAGCTTCATACCTTCCATTAGCATCATGGCCCAGGTCTAAAATATTTTCTAGTTATTCTACAGTCTTCCACAGATGCTGACACATAAAGATGAAACAAGGATTTAAGTAACAGCATATTAAGTTTTTGTGTTTTTTCCTGTTCCCTTCCTAATAATTCCTGTAATTCTATTTGCTTTTCTTATGACTATTGAGAACTGAACTGATGTTTTCATGGAAGAACCTACCATAAGTTCAGCAGCCTCTTTCTTGCTCAGCAATATCTAGTTTAGAGCCCTACATTATTCAGGAAAAATTACATTTGTTTTCTGCTTTGCAGTGATTTTTATTCTCCCATTTTATCAGAAAGATCTTTCTTCAGTTCTCCAAAGTCAGTTTTTTCATCTCTTGTCCTTGAATGACTTGGCATCAGTACAAAACTCTTATACCTCACCCCTCTTCCCGTTTCTGGAGCTTTTGGAAGAGATGAACAGCTGTAGCAAATCTTCCTGTGGGGCTCCATTCATAATTGCCTTTCACTCCTACTTCCCTTTCCTACTTTTTATTTCCAGTGTTCTAGTTATACTGCTCCCTGTCTCACTCCAGACTAATGGTCTACTTGTTCATAGTGTTAAAAATTACTCCTGAACTGCTGCTTCCCTGATTCTCCTTGTTCTTTCTGGCAAGCAAATCCAGCTTTGCTCCTTCAGCCCAGAGAATTCTTCCAGGATTATCTGTGAACATTGATTGCCATGTGTTAAAGAATCTTAGGCCTTAGGAAGCTCCATCTAGATAAGTAAAGAAGAAACAAAACAAGTGATAGAGGAGCTCAATGATGTGGGTTGTGCTCACAGCAGGAAGCAATAATGTTTCAAGTTAAAGAAACAAAACACAAAGCCTGAAGCATGCATGCAAGTCATTTTAAAACTCAGCATGTGTTCAACTAAGTCATTAGGACTTTTACCAGCATTGCCATCACTAAGCCACCAGTTACTGATGGTTCATTGGCTCTGGGTCCACATGACGCTCATGGATGCCAGGAACTTGGCTTCCAAGGATTTGCCTCTGATTGCCAGCCTAAGGGGAGAGTGCCTTTTTTATTTCCTTCTTTGTTTTTTCCTGGAAGAGAAGGAAATCAGACCTTTCTATTACACTTTTGCAAAGGAAGCCCAGAGTCGTGTTTGCATCGCAGCTCAGTTTTTCTGAACGTGCAAATTCAGATGATATTTCTCAAGTTTATTGTCGTGAATTACTTGTGAGCAGATGGCTTCATCTCTTGCCATTCATGTCGTCCCAACGCAAGACCACTGGTGGTGGCAGTGGCAGAACCAGGCTGTGCACAAAAAAACTTGTCATGGCCATGCTACATGGAGAAAGCTGAACTATCAAAAAGCAGTGGGGTCTTGTGGCTTGGCACAATGTTCTTCACCTCTGGAAGTCCTGGAGACAGCTGGCCATCAGTGGTATGTACCACTGCAAAGTCCCACTAACCTATCTCTCAAAGGGGTGAGAGGCTGGCCAGGGCTGCAGTTCAGTACAACAAACACTATAAAACCAGTGCATGTCTTTTGCATCAGTCTCAACTGTATGTGGGAAGGTGTGAAGGGCAGCTTTCCTGGGTGAGTAAGAGCCCCATACCTAGCCCCATCCCAAGGGATGGGCCCACTACAGTGTCAAGACATGCATTATAAGCACATGAGGCTGAAGTCAGTGAGGCCAGCAACCGTGGCCAGAGACTTCATGTAGTCAGCAGAAATGCAAAACGGACCAAACTGCCTTGGATGCATCCTGCTTTGTGAGGGTTCTCAGTAGAGTCATGTACTGTGCAGACAGCAAATGAAAGCACAGTGATGGGAGGCAGCATGTGGAGCATAGATGTGACAGGTTGAGGTGTAAGTGCTGAGCCATGGTTGACTCCAGAGGGTACTAATTTCAATCAGAAGCAAGTTTGGAACAAGTGAGGGAATGTTATCTTGTGCAAATCTCAACAACTGCATAGTTATTGTTTAAACCAAACTGGATGATCCTGTTCATATGCTCAGGTCTCTAAATCTGTGAAGTGTAGCTTTCCTCTACAAAATTTGTGCATACCGTGTGTCCATAGATTTTAATCAGTTTTCCTTCTGTGGGTGCAAGGCTTGCAGACTGGCTCGTTAATTCCGAGGGTTTAGTTCCCTTGGAGCCCTTTTTAAACATTGGCATCACATTAGCCCATTTTTTTCCCACTGGCAACAACATAGTTCTAAGCAAGAGATTACTTATCATGTTTAATAATTCTACTATTTCCTTTAGAAGCCTTGGATGAACACCATCTGGTCCCGGGCTGAGCTGGATTCAGTGTCTGCTGGTTAAATTGCGAGACTAAATGACAAAGAATTTGCTATAAACTCTTGACTCCCCTTTTGGAGTGGATTTCTGCATGAAACATGCTAAGATCAAAGAGTTTTGTTTTTCTGGACCTTTTTTTGCA